TAGACATATATATATATCTTTCTTCTTGAAATGAAATGATGTGCAACTGTGCTTAAAATTTCTTTGAGTGCAGATTTTTTTTTCAATAGTAGCAAAAGTATCTTCCTAGGATGTATTACGGTCTTTGACTGAAATGCAGCTCTGAATGAATTTGAGTTCATTCAGTAAAACACCGGCTTCTTTAGTTTTTCTCTAGCTGACTCTATATACTATTTAACACTGTTTCTTAAAACAATCAGCTTGTACAACACAAACAATAAATGTCTTCAACTGGAAAGATGTTCTTAGATCTCTTACTCCTTTTACAGTAGGCAGGACAGGAATTAAAGTTTTCTTCAGAACACACTACCTGCCACTCTGATAGCAATCAGAGCACCCATAACCACGTATCAGACCACCCCTCTCACGTGTGTCCTATCTATGTACATATTTATTGTAGTTTGGTAGTCGAAAAAGGAGCCCAGGTGGTGTTATCAAGCAAGCATTGGCTGCTAACAGCAAGGCTGGCAGTTCAAACCTACCAGTCACTGTCTCGTGGCAATATTACAGAGTTAGAGTCTAGAAAATCTCATTTAGGGTCTCAGTGAGTCAAAATCGACCTGATGACAGTGGGTTTTGGTTTGGATGGTAGAGAAACAAAGCACACAAAGTAAAAGTGGGTCATCTTTTCGAGTATCTTTTTCTCATCTGGAAATGGATCAGTCTTTGATAAAGGAGGTGGCAAGCTGCAGTAAAGTTAGACTAACGCTAGCATAAAAATCATCTCTTTGAGTTTTGTGCTCAAAGCCTGGCCCTGAGACAAGCAATATGGGTGCTAACTAAAAAAATAATGTTAGAAAAGCAGAATTCCTGTCACCATCACAGACCTATTAATGAAAACTTGCATTTTAACAAGAGCCGCGGTATTTGCAGGTGCATTAAAGTTTGAGAAGCAATGCGCTAAGTTCAGGAATAATATTTATATAATGAACATTATAAGACAGAAGTTTCTGATCTCAGAGTCCACTAATATAATTAACTTAGAATTAAATACATAACAAATTGAAAGCAAAGTGGAGAGTATGATTGGAATCCATATAAATTCAACATTATTTTTAAAATAAGGAAAATTTGCTAATATTAAAGAAAATAAAGTTGATTAGCTTGTAATCCAAATACATTGTAAGATAGAATATGAATCATAGTTATTTAAGTGCCCAAGAAGTTTATAACCTGCAATCTCAAAGCAATTTATACCTAATTTTCCAAATATTTCAAGGCAGTTAATGTTAATATAATAAAATGATCCTGACATTAAAAAACAAGTACCTAACCAAACCAAATCCAGTGTCTTCGAGTCAATTCTGACTCACAGCAACTGTATAGGACAAAGTAGAATTGCTCTGTGGGTTTCTGAGAATAAAACCTCATGGGAGTAGAAAAGTCTCATTTTTCTCCCACAGAGTGGCTAGTGGTTTTGAACGACTGACCTTTCCATTGGCAGCCCAATGCGTAACCACTACACCACCAGGGCTCTTAAAAACAAGTACAGGAGAATAAATTTAAAGTCATGGAGTAATTCTATAGAAGATACACCCAAAAGATGTATGAAAATCCATTGTACTAAAAGACCGGTAGTTTTTTATTACCAAAGCCAAATCTCATACATTTAGAAACATATTTCCCTAACATTTTTTCTGAAAATTAACCCAAAAGTGAGGACAGCACTTACTAATCCTATATCAATTCCTTTTCATTTAGATAGTGTGAGCAGTACAAAGAACTTTCAATGGTTTCGAAGATATCGAGATCACACTATAATTGGTTAAATTCTGTAAATCAGAGTAAGTAACTCCTCACTGTTCTCAACAACAACCCACAATATTAAAAAGCAAAATATACACATGCATGGGTGCACACACAGACACTCTCTATCATATACATGCATACCTAGAACAAGAGCAGCAACTGGAATTTCTCTGAGTTTTATTTGACAGCTCCAGTCTCTTGAATTCTTCTGAAATCCAGAATGAGACTTTTGCAGAAATTCAGTTAGATTATCAAACAGGTTTTTATTTAATTCCTCTTGTAATTGCTGCAAAGAAAACAGCAAACTCTGTGAATAAGTAGTAAGCAGTATTGTAATGCATCTTCTCTGCTGTTGCAAACAAAACTGTCACAGATTTAATCCCCAGGGTCACAGGCACAATGAATATTTTAAATGGATGAAATAAAAATGCTTTCCTTAGAGCTTCCGTGATTAGTGCTTAGATCTCCAGTGATAATTCTCTTATTAAGAAACCTGTCTCAGTTACTCATTTATTTATGCAGTAAACATTTACAAACTGCCCTAAAGTGAAAGAAAGTTTCTACTCCAAAAATTAGGGAAATTGGGCAAGAACACTTACAATTAAAATATGGTACACAGAGTGCTATGATAATATAGAAACAAGGAAAAAGGCTATCTAATGTATGTTGAGAAGGTGATACATTTGATCACATCGTAAAGGGACAGTGAAGTCTTAGCAGGTTATAATAAACAAGGAAATGTAAAATTCTGCGACCTGAAAGGCTAGAAGTGTGGTCCACCCAGAGGTGCCCCAGAAGAAAGGCAAGGCAATCTTGTGAAAAGTCAGCCACTGAAAACCCTATGGTGCACAGTTCTATTCTATTTTTTCCTCCCACGTGTAAGGCTGCCATAAATCAGATGTGATTCAATGACAACTGGTTTGGATCAAGAAAAACCACAAGATGGCAAAGGGCTGTTTTGGGAGCACTGTGGAGAGCTTACTGGGGAAAACCAGAGGTTACACCGGCGAGGAGCTGGAAAATCTGTGAGCTGGCACAGAGCTGCATCTGCTTGAAAGGGGCACTTCCATCACTTGGTACCATAAGGATCATGAAAATCTAGATGAAGAATCAAAGAGGGGCTAAAGTGAAACTACAAATTCAAATGATCTATGACCTTGAAGGATCACAAGGAATATATGAATGAGGAATAAAGCTAAATAAACAGAGGTCCCCATCATTTTCCTGAAAATTAACTACAAAGAACAAAGCAAGAAAGAGTAAAGGGAAGTAGCAGTAAACTGGAAAGTATATACACACCCCTGCCAAAAGTACTGAAAAAGAAAAGAAAATATAAACAATGTGTTGGCCCAATAATGGAAGTTGCCAGTATACTGGCCCTGAGGCTAACAACTTGCTGGAGTGAGAAATGTTTGAGTAGGAACATAAAGAATATAAAGCCAAGGAGTTTAGACATAACTAGATTTCTTGTTTAACTTAATAGATTAGTAAAGTATGCCACCATTTAAAAGTGGTGAGAATATGTAAACATCTCCTTGGCTTAGCAATTATCATTATAAACATCTCTCCAAGTACTTAAAGCTATGTTTAATATTTGGGACATGAAGTGGCTTTTATTTGTTTTTGTTTAGGATATACAAATAATATATATTTGTTATCATCAATTATTCTTGTAAATTGGGGGAAAGGAAGATGAGAAGCACCAGCAATGATATTTATGGTATTAATGTTATTAAAAAAAGAATTGTCACCTCAGTTTCAGACTTCATCTGTTGCCATATCAACTGATAAGTTTCAAATCTGAGCTTACTGTCTTCAGACACACTTTTCCCTTTATTAAAATAGTCCTCTAAAAACAAAGAAAGAAATAATCAATTTTAAATTTTTATTTTAATAAGGAAAAAGTTAGAAAATCTCTGGACAAAGTAATATAATAAATGATAGTTAAATGTTTATATACATAAAAGATATGATAAATAGATAATATCTGTACCAGTTAAAAAAATATTGACTGTGAACTGGGTGAAACTTTACCGAACAGATCATCAACTGTATATCCAATAATTTATACAATTTTGTTTCATTGAAAATCCCTCAATGTGCCAACATTTACCCCACTTCTTCCCATTTTCCTGTTTCCCTACCTCCTTCTTTTCTAATCCTTTGATATTTACTTCTGGGTAACTGCTGTCCTCTTGATCTTAAATGGCTGGTTATTCTACCAGAGGGCTGGATTCCGTTTCAGATGTGAACAGTGGCGAAGGCCAGAGCCTGGGGGTTCCACCAGCTTCTCTCCAACCACTAAGGCTGGTTGGTCTCTTTTTGGATTTTGAGTTCTTTGATTTTTTTTTTTTTTTTCCCACTAGTCAGGACCTTCTAGCTTGACCCTTTTCATGGCAGTTGGTAGTGGTACCCAAGCACCATCTATTTGAAGCTAACATCAGTATCATTTTATCTATTACATATATATATATATATATACTATCTATACTTATTAATATCCTTATTACTATCTTATACTATCATTTATTATCTTATATTTTTACTATATTAATTGTATCTTTGAGATTTAACAAAAATTCCCTTTTAATTGATTTCTATCATTTATTTTTTTTTAAACTTCTAGGAGGTTTTATTTAATGTTTTTGGTTTCAGGCATATTTGTTCTTATTCTATGACCTAGTATACTTTAATTCTTATCATTTGCTTTTGACTGTATTAAGGATGACCACTATTGTTATCATGTTTGACTCATACAGTTTAGCCCAGCCTTCTCTATATTTTTCAGTGTTTTCCAAATAGTTGACCATTTGTCCAAAAATTACTTAGTGCAATGGTTTTTAAACTTCCAAATAATGACCCAATACATCTAGAAATAAACCAAAAATCATCACAGAAAAATGCCCACCCATATCATATATAAGCAAATTATTATAAAGCTACCTTAACTTACTAAATTGATTTCATGAGTTATATGTAGGTTATAATCTGCAGTTAGAAAATACAGGTTATAAAATACTGACATATTTTAGTCAGTATAGACATGAATAAGCTACCCTTTCTATTGATTACAGATGCTCTGAAATACTCATACAAACCAGGAACTATTTTTGAACATTTTCTTTTGCCCTCCTTAATTCAATTCCACTCTTTTATCAGCCCTTAACTGGTTTAAATCAATGTAGCTTTGAGTGCACTTCAATAATGAAAAAATTCAGGTCTTCCCCATCACCACCAAATATTATTTTTATTTTTCAAAGACTTTTAAGGGTATTTCTTCAAATTAATGTTACAGTTGAACTGATATTCCTAGATAAAATTAGAATTATACAGGAATTTGGGCAGACATGACAGCTTTAAGAATCTTAAGAAATTCCCCTCCAGAAACACTATGTATCCTCCTTCTTTTAATAAGTACATTTGTTCCTCATAACATTCTACTTTCCTTTAATATTTCTTCCTCTTTACTGCTAATGACACTGCATTAGCTGGAATTTTCACGGTATTATATGATTGTGGAAATGCACATTCTGTTCCCGACTTTACTGTACGGCTGCTATTATTCTATCAAGTTTTAATGTTAACTGACAGTTTAACATGAAAATTCTGTTTCTTTTTAAGGATCTGTCTATCTAATTTTAGTTGATACAGAGTTCTGTTTTGCTTTTTTCACAATTAACTTTTAGCAAAACCTTTAAAATAATGCAATCATATAGTAGAATTAATGGTAAAGTGGAAGACAAGGTATATAATAAGACAATGAAAACATAAAATAGAGCAAGTAATTTAATAGTACTTAGCTACAAAGCAGAATAACAGGGCAGTCCCACATAGAACAAAACCAGTTATTTTGTATTATAAATTAATAAACTTAAGAGTAAAAAGTGAAAGTGATAACATTTTTATGTGAACAATGTATCCAAATACACAAGGAGAAAAACTGCTAGAAATCAGAAAACAATTGCAGTAGGCTACTTTAACATTCTCAGGCAGAGCTGTTGGTAGGTGTGAACTGCCAGCCTTTGGGGATAGAAAGCAAGTGCTTAACCACTGTGCCACCAGAGATCCTTATTTATAGTTCATGTAGATAAAAAATAATAAGAACTGAAAAACATGAGCTCTCACTGTTGTCAGGTGCCTTCCTGCTCTGCTCCTACTCATAGTGCTTCCCTTTCCTTGACCTGTGACCACCACCTAGCATGTCAGTGCAACTACCTCCTCCTCCACTGCTCCCTCGCTCCTGCCAAGTAGTGTTCTAGAATATGCAGTTACCTTCACCATTACCTTGTCAGTTATACTGTGGTGACTATGTGTTGCTATGCTATGATGCTGGAAACTATTCCACGAGTATTTCAAATACCAGTAGGGTCACCTATGGTGCTCAGATTTCAGTACAGCTTCCAGACCCCGAAAGACTACACTTGGATGATGGACCAGGTGGGATCTGGCAATCTGCTTCTAAAATAACTGGCCAATGAAAACCTTATGAATAGCAGTGAAACTCTGTCAGACATAGTGTTGGAAGATGAGTACCTAACGTTAAAAGACACTCAACATTCAACTGGGAAAGAAGTGCCCCTCAAACTACAGGTAACGTTAATGATGTGAATGGAGTCAAGCTTTCAGAACCTTTATTTACTGGCATGACTCAAAATGAGAAGAAACAAACATCTATACACAAGCAGAAGGTAAAATGTATAAAATTATAAAATTAGGAAAATTGGAATTTGTCAAAAATGAAGTCTAATCTCGACCAGAAAACACTCCTAAAGGCCAACAAACAGTCCTTGAATTAACTACAAGCTTTTCTTTTTTCTTGTAGTTGTGTTGCGGGTTTTTCTGTTTGTTCTGTTTTTTGTCATTGGTTGTTTTTGTTGTTGGCTTTGTTTTCTTTTGTTGCTTGGTTTTGCTCTGTCTTGTTTTTGTGCATGTTATTATCTCCGCAAGTCTGTCTAAATAAGATAGGCTGGATGAACAATCTGGAGGAGAAAATAATGGGACCGACAGTTCCAGGGGGACATGAGAGAGGGAGAGGTGGGGGGAAAGAAAGTGCTGTTAACAAATCCAGGGAAAAGGGAACAACAAGTGATCCAAATCAGTAGTGAGGAGGGTATAGGAGGCCTGGTAGGGCATCAAGGGTAAAGTAACCGGGAGGAATTACTGAAATCTAAATGAAGGGTAAGCATGATAGTGAGACAAGAGGAAAGTAAAAGGAAATAAAGGAAAGAGCTAGGAGGCAAAGGGCATTTATAGACGTCTAAATAAAAGCATGTACATATGTAAATATATATATGAGAATGGGGAAATAGAGCTATGTGCATATATTTATAGGTTTGGTATTTATAGGTTTAGTATTAAAGTAGCAGATGGACATTGGGCCTCCACTCAAGTACTCCCTCAATGCAAGAATACCTTGTTCTATTAAACTGGCATTCTGTGATGCTCACCTTCCCAACATGATTGCTGAAGACAAAGCGGGTATATGAGCAAATGAGGTGAAGAATGCTGAATGGGGCCCAGCTATCAAAAGACATAGTGTCTGGGGTATTAAAGGCTTGAAGGTAAACAAGCAGCCATCTACCTCGGAAGCAACAAAGCCCACATGGAAGAAGCACACCAGCCTGTGTGATTACAAGATGCCAAAAGGATCAGTTATCAGGCATCAAAGAACAAAAAATCATATCATTGTGCGCTCACCTTCCCGATATGATCGCTGAGGACAAATAGGTGCATAAGCAAATGTGGTGAAGAAAGCTGAAGGAGCCCGGCTATCAAAAGATATAGCGTTAGGGTCTTAAAGACTTAAAGGTAAACAAGCGGCCATCTAGCTCAGAAGCAACAAAGCGCATATGGAAGAAGCACACCAGCCTGTGCGATCACGAAGTGTGGACGGGATCAGGTATCAGGCATCAAAGAACAAAAAATCATATCATTGTGAATGAGGGGGAGAGGGGATCGAAAGCCCATCTGTAGGCCACTGGACATCCCCTTACAGAAGGGTAGCAGGGAGGAGATGAGCCAGTCAGGGTGTGATGTAGCAACGATGAAAAATACAACTTTCCTCTAGTTCCTAAATGCTTCCCCCCCACTATCATGATCCCAATTCTACCTTACAAATCTGGTTAGACCAGAGGATGTACACTGGTACAGATAGGAACTGGAAACACAGGGAATCCAGGTCGTATGATAACTTCAGGACCAGTGGTGAGAGTGGTGATACTGGGAGGGTGGAGGGAGGGTGGGGCAGAAAGGGGGAACCGATTACATGGATCTACATATAACCTCCTCCCTGGGGGACAGACAACAGAAAAGTGGGTGAAGGGAGATGTGAGACAGTGTAAGATATGACAAAATAATAATTTATAAATTATTGTGGGTTCATTAGTGAGGGGGGAGTGGGGAGGGAAGGGGGAAAATGAGGAGCTGATACCAGGGGCTATGTGGAGAGCAAATGTTTTGAGAATGATGAGGGTAATGAATGTACAAATGTGCTTTATACAATTGATGTATGTATGGATTGTGATGAGTTGTATGAGCCCCCAATAAAATGATTAAAAGAGAGAAAAGAAAAAAAATGAAGTCTAATATATACAAATATGCTTGATACGATTAATGTATGGATTGCTATAAGAGCTGTAAGAGCCCCAAATAAAATTATCTTTAAAATAAATAAATAAAAGTCGAGGAAGGAAAAAAAAAGTCTAATGCTTGAAAACTGATATCCTATGCATGAGAAAATTCAAATTAACTAGTACTGGCCATTCTGAATCAGAGAAAAGCATGATGTACTATACCAGGAAAGACAAAATGCAGACGTATGAAACTTATATGCATAGTCAAAAAGAACAA